ATATACATTCTTTAAAAATGTACCCAGTTTCACTTTAAAAGTGTGTTCACTGCATTCTATGTTTACCTTTTTAAATTTGCGTTATTTGTTACACAGCCTTTCTTTTATATATATATATAGTATAAAGCACATAAATACAGTAATTCCTCAATTAGTGTTTAATTTCTGTGTTTGTTTAATTGTTATCAACTCCACAGTATAATGGTATGTATCCTCTGTTTTTTTTCTTTTACAAAATCTTGACAATTGCTTATCAAGGAATAAACTTGTAAACGGAACCCCCAAGGACACAACGGATGTTAGAATTGTTCAATTTTCTATTACAAGACTGTTACCAGGGATAGGTAAGATTTTCTCGTTAGGTCCGAATCTGGTTCTCAAATCGACTTGTAACTCTTCAAATGAAAAATGAATGAAAAATAAATGAAAAATAGATGAAATTCTGAATGCGCTCACTTTTATTGGGAAAATGTTAGTTACCTTTTGGTAAAAATCTTGTATGTACGTACTGAAACGTAAGATCTCTAGCTACACGTCTTATGATAATTTTTAGCAATTTGCCCTGTCGCTTTACCGCTGCTGTTCTCTACTTTACTACATTAAAAGTATTACACAATTCTACCGATCGTAACATTAAAAAACACATGTAGTTTTAAATGTTTCTCCGTGTTGCTTAACATTACGAAATGGTTTTAATGTAACACCAACTAAGAAAGTACTGTGTAATGTACACGATACGCATCTACGTGTGCATCGTAAAGAAATGTCAAAATTACACTTATCGTCTAATGTTATACAGTTTCGAAGTTTCTAATTTTGTCGATTTAACTAAACTACCGTTATATACAATATGTTACAAAATTCCTCGTTTATACACAGTATTTTATTCCTTCTTTAAGAATCATTCAATTTCTTTGTTCTAAATTGTAAATTTTAATTAAGAAAGTCAATCAAAATAACAATGTATAATCATTGGAGTTATTGTGATCTTAAAGCACATACATCATCGATTTTCTCAATCGATATAATAATAGTAATGTGTTGTAAAATTCATGCGCACGTAACACGTTTTTTGCAAAGGATATAAGCGTTAATTTTTGTCCATCTAGTTCAAGTATATATTCAATTGAAGTCTTTGCAAGCGGGCCAAAGGGTAAAAAAACCGAATACCATTGCAATTAAAGAACCATTTTCACAGAAACCGTACATCATTTTGTACGGGGTTGAATTATTCGAATACGAAATGAAAAAAATATTACCGTTTGTCTCGATTCGAACGCCGCGTATTTGTGTTTATTTGAAAATCCGATGGTCGTTTCCTAACATGGAAAAATATTGTTTCTTAAAAGAGCGTGCTTCGGAGAAGTTATATACTCGGTGTTTAGATCCGGAAATATTTGAAACAGTTTTAGTAGTTTCAAGTTTTCAATAAAATCAATGAAACGTGTGGTCTATTTTTTTAATGAACTATTTGTTAATTGTGTATATGCTGCGCTTGTAGCTCTTCTTCGGTAGCATCGCCCTTCCTGATGTACTGTGGTTTCTCGCGTCCTTGCACGCAACCTTCGGTCACGTGAACGGACATTACGTCACTGCCTGGCACTTCGAACATTGGTTCGAGCAACAACGATTCCATGATGGCGCGAAGTCCTCTCGCACCCGTTTTCTTTTCCATCGCAAGCGCTGCTATCGCGTGTAGAGCTTCCGTCGTAAACGTTAGTTCTACCTGTAACCGGCAAACGATTCGATCAGCAATTTCCCGTGAATTATCTCCCGCGAAGGCAACTCGCGTCGGTGTCATTCTCGTAAATTCATACCTTATCCATTGAAAATAACATCTGATACTGAGGCACCATAGCATTTTTAGGTTCTGTTAGTATTCTCACCAACATATCCTTGTCGAGAGTGTGAAAAGGCACCAGAACAGGAAATCTACCGACGAATTCGGGTATCATACCGAAATCGATTAAATCTCTCGCTTCGACCTGTTGCAGTAAAAAGTCTTTCTCCTTGTTATCTTTCTCCGTGGAAGGTGACATGTTCGCAACGTCTGCCAAACTCGCTGCCCTTCGCCCGGGACTCTCGGTAGAAGGTGTTGCACCGAATCCGAGGTATTTTTCAGTTTTCCGCCGTGAAATCAATCGATCCAGTCCATTGTAAGCACCAGAAGCAACGAACAAAATATTCGTAGTGTCCACCTGGAGCGTGTCCCCGCGTAATTTTCTCGAACTATTTCTTTCGGGCACGTTCACGATGGTGCCTTCCAACATTTTCAACATCCCTTGTTGAACACCTTCCCCGCCAACGTCTCGCAGTTGATGTATGCCAGGAACAGCGCCGATTTTATCGACTTCGTCTAAAAATACGATACCCATTTGGGCTCTGTCGACCACATAGTTGGCATCTTGGAGGAGCTTCGCTATAACGCTTTCTATATCTTCACCGACGTAACCAGCTTGCGTTAACGTCGTGCAGTCGCAGACAGCGAAAGGTACGTCCAGGCACTGGGCTATTGTCTGCGCGAGTAACGTCTTTCCACTTCCGGTGGGACCGAGCAACAGAATGTTGCTTTTCTCTAATTTTAACTGATGTTGCTTACTATCGAGAATATCCGAACCAGGCACCGACTGATTGCTAGCCGACTTTTGTTCGCTTCCCGTAGGGAACTGTTGGAATCCGACACCGAATGAATTTCCAATAGTGGAAATGTGCAGTAAATCTGTAACGAAGAAGAGGAGGTTCATCTTGCCGTAGGCTAGAAGTATTTCTAGAAGAATCGTTAAAGCATCGGTAACTATTTAGGGCTTCGATTTCAGACAAATTACATGTCGTCTTCGCATGAGACTATGCGCGAAATGGGGACGTCATTATTTACGTGGTTTAAGACCTCTGTGAATGAAGGGCTGATTCGGATCTTGTGTACCACTTGAATTTGTAGATCCCTGCATCGATGTCTGTACTGGCAAGTTGTTGTAGATTCGTTTATAATGATTGTAAACTGCAACACTCAACACTTTTTTAGCATATTCTTGCCCCACAACATGTTTATTTAAGTATTCAAATATCTAAGAACATTAAAAACAGCCGTTAGTTTACATTAATCACCGCATTTCTTCTTAAAATATGCGACATGGAACATAAAGATAAATATTTATCTTTACGTTCGTTTTCATTTTCAGAAACATCTTTTTCATCTTGTCACCTAACAGAATCATTATTACCTTCTTTGGCGGCGGTGGTGGTTTTCTGTAGAATCCTTGTTTCGTATCATCTGATCTCATAGCTTCTTTGAGACTTCTTTTCGAATCTATTTCTGATAAAACAAGGAAGAAATGATGACACTTCTCGCATTTTACAAATCTTGACGATGCTAACAGACAAACAAACAAATAAACAAAATGAATCTTTTGTATCTTGGTCGAAAACGTACGTTTCTGCGCGCAAATAATCACTTACATACAAAAGTTTCTACATGAGTGCAAGGGTCTCCACATTTCGGACATGTGAGCGTGTTTTTTTTTCCTCCTTTTCCTCCTCCTCCTCCTCCACCTCCTCCACCTCCTGATCCATTACCTACGGAGGATACTCCACTATTACCGTCCTTGCCGGGTGGAGTCGGTTCCACAGGAGCTTTTCCCAATGTACTACTGACCGTTAAACATCTAGTAACAGCTACTCTCGCAATTTTGTGAACTAACATGGTAAATATATTTAATTAGTAGCTTCCAAATAAAACGTCACCTTCGCCAAACGATAAGTATACAAGGAGAACTTACCATGATTAGCTATATGATTCGAAGATGCAATGCGACCAGCACTAATTAAACAACAACGAACGCAACTCATCTCTGATGAAAAATATTTGTATAATATGATACAGTATTTAAGCAATATTATTAGAATTGCTCAAAGTAGGGCCTATAATCATAAAAGAAAATTAGGAAAACTAGTGTAATGTAAAAATACTAAGAAAACATATGGAAGAACAATTTAATATATTATAATTTGCATTATATTTGAAAAAAGCTCGTAGCGCACAAATTATACCATCACTGACTGAAAAATAAAATCTATTACGTGTAATTACTAATATCGATATAATTCTAATAAAATGTTATATTCGCACAAAGTTACTGAACAACGAAAATACGACAACAATTTACTCGATATCATCAAGCACAGAATAAAGTAATACGATATCAAGAGAGATAAAAAGACTTTTTGGAGATATAACGTTGTCACTCGTTGTTTATAGAAAGAACAAAGGTACGATGTAGGCATTGAGAAACTAAAATATGGACACGAGCGCAATATCATTATATAAATAAACTCTGAAGAAGCTCGAAGTTGAACGAAAACATTCAAGTGTCGGAAATACTAACCTTTCAAATAAACTGGTGCACAAATTATTCGCAATCATTCACAATTTATTCGTATCTGCCGAAACAGATGAAACAAATCAAAATGCTTGAATAATGATTTGCTAACGAATTACTACGAGTGTGCGAAGAAAAGAAATATATTAATTTATAAACAAAATTGTCTGACACATCGGGTTAAAAGATTCAACGCTCGGTTAACCATGATTCAAGGTCATTGAACAATTTCTATTAAAACTTTTCTTATTGGCTTGGTTATTATTCGAATATGCTTAGATACGACCACTACCGAAGGTACATCTAATTTGCTTGCATGTCAATAAAACATCTAAAAACCACTGAAATTGCAGTGCAATGCAATTGTGCGTAAGCACGTCGTACCTACATACGTGGCGATATATAACGTGTTTGCGTGTGCGTGCGCGCGCGCGAGCCAGTGCGTGTGAGTGCGCACACACGCGACTGGCACGCGCGCACACATGCGCACGGATGCTATATATACATATGCATACACACATATATATATATAATACGTGATCAGTCATGGTTAAAGAAACTTTACGTGACTACTACTCACGCTAAGGTTCCATCTTCTTCCAATAATTGAACGACACAATCGCCGAGTTGGAGTTCACTGCATTGTTTTTTTCTCAATAAAATTTCTCTACGTCCACGTTCGATCTTCTAAACGAAAAAAAGTCTTCCTTACAGCAATGTAGACTTGACAAAATGACGTTTCTACGGACCAACAATACGTCAGAATGTTTACGCGTATGATCACTCGAGGGCGTTTATTTAGCCAATAGGGGATGAATCGTTCGTTCTGTATCGTGCGTTGTGCATTGTGTATATAGGAATTTCTTTCGTAACAAATGTATCGAGAATACGAACCGGGAATATGTTGAAATAAACGTGGATTTACCTCTATACTGATATCAGCTTGTTTTATTCTTCAAACAATTCCACCAGTTCTAGATTCATCGGACAAGTGGAAGTGTACATTACGCTGTGCACCACGTGCATTCTTTCAATGAAGACGCCACGTACAGAAATTTCGAAAATGTATCGTAATATTACTTATATAGAATCAACGAGGTTGTAACAGTTTCATTTAATTGTACATTTTTATTTGATTCTTTTGATGCTTTAGTATGATAATATTGTGAACCATATGACTGTAACTGGAGCCTCGATCGAAATGAACAACGAGGTAACAACTTTTATCATATTTTCATCATAGAAACAAACATTTCTGATCGTTACTTTGTTACTTTGTTACTTTTTAAGGAATTCTTTTTCTGTTAAATTAGAGAAAAATCTATGGTAATTTTCTTAATCTTTTAGGTTATTTTATTAAGGCGGTACGCCCGTCAAGCACGCATTTGTGTGATAAATAAATTGATTAGAGAGGCTAAAAGACTACAAATCAATCGTGGTAACGAGAGAAGCGTAGAAAAAAAGAAGAATAAGGCGGAGAAATGTTTAAGGGAGGTGTCAGCGTTAAAACGCATTAAGGACGATGAAATATCGAAATTTGGAATTATTCATTCCGACAATTTGCAGATTATATTGCAGAATTCAGAAACCGACGATAGGACTCGAGCCATGGTAAAAGTTGTTCGTTACAAATGTTTAAACACAAAAATAACAGAATTTTTAAAGAACTTTCCAAACGCTAAAGAATATATTTCTCGCGACAAAAAGAAACATTCGTCGAGAAAGAGAAAGGCGGATTCTATGGATAAACTTGAAAAAAATTTGAAACAAGTGCCAAATAAGAAAAATGATTTAAATAGTCGGCTAACTATGAAAGGTACGATAGGTAAAGAAATACCATTGGAACAACTAAAGGAGCACGACAAGGATAGAAAATGCGAAGGTAATAGCAATAAAGTCAATGACGAGAACTCGGAAACCATTACCAAAATTGTAAGCAAAGAAGCTACGGTCAAGAGATTTACAGATATTTTACAAGAGTCGAGTGTGTCGAGAATAAACGATGGACACAAAGAGAATAATAAGCAGTTTTCTCCGATACCTGCAACAATTACCGGAGGAGATGATTTTTTCTTAAATTTTAAGAAGGTTGCGTCGGACGTACACACTCCGGTGTTACCACGAGAAAAAGGTGGCGATACTATGTCAACGATAGAAAAGAAATCAGTAGTCCGGTTCCAAGATAGAAACGTGAAACGTATGTTTTCTAAAAACGAAGAGAAAGCAAGGAAGAGGAACGACAAAGAACAAGACGTAAGGAATAAGGACGTTTCGTACCATCGACATAACGCGAAGAAAGGAAACGCAATACCATGGAAGCAAAAGAAACAAGAAGCTTCAGAGATGAAGCAAACGTTTGGACGTAGAAACTTTGAGCAGAGAAAATTGTTGAAAACTGAAAACGAAAATGAAAATGAAAATGAAAATGAAAATGAAAATTTGCATCCTTCATGGGCAGCAAAGAGGAAACTACAAAATATAATGAAAGGAGGTTTTCAAGGAAAAAAGGTTCGGTTCGAAGAAAATTAATTAAACGAGTTACAATACATCCGTGTTAAAATTATTATTTATTCTATAATATATTGGAAATTGCCGAGTCACTCTATGTGAATTTTTCCCTTGTATCCATTGAGAAAAGAATGGCAAGAAATCGAATTTCGTAGAAATATGAAATCTATTGAAATCATATCGAAATGTATTCAAATCAAAAGCTTCACGAGTTGATCAATTTTTTTATTGAAATATTGATTTCATTTATAAATTTGTACAAAATGGTTGTGAAATTTGCAACGATAATAAAACCGACCTTCAAATACGAGTAAACTGCAACTGCGTCCAGCGCTCACGTATGGTTTACAAGTAAATTTTAGCCAGTTTAAATTCGACGTTTGCGAGTATTCGTTGACCGTGGCAGTAATCCATCGGGACATGTATTTCACGAACGTTTCAAACGTTATTACGTAGTAAATTGTTTAAACGATCGACACGTAAGAGGTAGTTGTTGAAATAACTTATTTGATCGCAGTCGATGCTGGGGTATTTCGTATAAAGTAGATTATATTTGCTATTCCGTAGTAAGGATAAAGTAAAAGATAGAAGATGAAACACGTCGAGTACCGAACGCGCGCGGTACAGATATGTTTTCTCATCCGAATGATAAAATTCTATACCGCACATTTTCCTCGTATCACCGTAACAACTTCTTTCATTTACAGTATCGAGAGTGTTCGCGCTTTCTTTCCCTCGTCTTTTCAATCGAGAGTTCCATACACACAGTTGGATCAATAAAAGCGCACGGTGTTCGAATGATCTTTCGCTAGATTTTTTATCATCGGGTTACATAATTGAACGTTTCGATATAAATTTCGATAAATAAATATTTAATTATTTTTGAAAATGTCACTCTGTACGTGTTACAAATGTGTATTTCTATCGTTTATACAAGGTAATTTGAGAGCACGATGCTGGAAAACACGTATTTCGAAATGTTCTCTGTGTGTCGCACTACCGAATCGGCCGAACGATAAAAACTACTAAACACAAAAGCAGCGGATATCGGTATGGTCGGATTTCTTGAAAACACGAACCTAAAAGACTACTGCTCGTCAAGTTGGAGGCAAATATCGCGAACAAAGCTGCACCTCTGTGTACATTGGTAGTGTCTCGCTTTGGAAAATGGCGAGATCGAAGGTAACGCGATGGGGATGAAAGTGACGGGGTAACAACATGTAAGTTTAACATCGATCTTTGGCTGGGAGACTGCACGAATTATTTGTTCTTTGAGAGCGTACGTTGCTTTTCGGCATGCGTAACGAGCTGAGAGTCGACGGATAAGCCTTTCCGGCGACGTACCGCATTTATGTATTTCTTGGCTCTATTTTCGCTGTCCGCTTTATCACCGAAGTGGAGATACTCTTCGTCCGTGGAAGGTGTCCAGTAAGGATCTTGTTCGATCACCTGCGACGTAATAATAGAAACTTGAAATTCATCGGAAATTATTCAACTATTTCAAATAGATGTGTCGAGCAAACGTAAATAAACGTAAATAAACGTAAATAAACGTAAATAAACGTAAATAAACGTAAATAAACGTAAATAAACGAGTAAATAAGTAAAATAAATAAATAAATAAATAAATAAGTAAATAAAAAAGTAGATAAATACAGTACTACTGGAACATGTGTGATTGTTTCAGTAGTATTACAAGTTGGTTCGTTCGCAAGTATCTACATGAATTGCAATAATGGTAACGGTTAGAGACACGCGAGGTCAGTTTGCTCGATCGAGAAAAGTGGAAAAATGGAGAGGAACGTTCGTTCCTCGGTATGAAAAAACTTGCCTCCCAATGACTGAAAACCAGTTGAGGACTAGCGGCCAGCCCGGACGTTTGAGTTCGCAATTCTCTAGCAAGTTGAAAACTCTCTGGCACGGGTAATGTTGCTAACACACGAAACTGTCCACCAAAGCCGGTACTCTCCGTAGCGATCACGCGGCCTTGTCTTTTTCCAAATACGGCATACAATTTCCCTGAAATAGAATCGACCGTCACGTTTCCGAACTTTATTCGATCATGCCTGTTATCGAAATAAGAAAATAAACGATCAGAAAATCTGTAGAAACATAATGGACACTGGCGCCAACATATTTTCTTGCTAGTGTGGTAAACCGTTCTTTCGGAGTACCAGCGAGTAAGTATCGTTCAACTTGGCAAGTCGATTCGCATTCGAAAGCATTGCGAGAGAAACGATTGATCTGTACCGGTGAAAGTTCCTAACCAGATGGAGTTTTAGAGTTGAAACTTTAAAATCGTAACCATTACACGAGTACCAACTTGTATACACAAGTACCAAAGATACATAGATATTCCACTACCAACGAGATCCAACGCACCTCGTACATGCAACTGCCATTGCTTCGTAATCCCATTGCTGAGCCACGTCCCCTTCCCTTTGTCAAGGATTCATTCATGTCGTTCAGTGGTTCTCGTTCAAAGTAACTCGAATTTTCCGAACGCTCGACAAATCTCTACACAGCATACCAGAATGCTTCGGTTTCGTTGGATTCGTTCGACTCACGCTTTCCCCGTTTCTCCCGTTTCTCCCGTTTCTCCCGTTTCTCTCGTTTCTTCGTTTCTTCGTTTCCCTTATGCGCTAGCATAAACGTAAACAAGGGCATTCTCGCCGTTGGCTGAATCCGCGAGCACACCATGCACATTTCTATCAAACCACTGGAAAAGTGCATTCGATCGCATGTAAGCGGTATCTCGAGTGTTTTGCCAGATATCTAATCTTGTTCGATTTGATCTCGTTTTATTTCATTTTACCTTGTTTCATCGTCTTTCCGATCAAATCGAGTTCAACTCAATCCAATTCGATCCGACCAGACTCGACTCGATATACCAGATGGTATGGGGTACGGTACGATACGTTACGTCGTAATCGTGTAAAAGTCGAATGAAAACGAAACGGTTGAGAATCAATTTGAGCGCAGAAGAACGAGAAAAGCGCGATGCTGTTGAAACATTTCGGAAGGGAGAGCGTGGGAATGAGAGAACAACAACTTGGGGAGGAACAGAGAGAAAGTAGGATTGAATGGATCGTGGCCTCCATCAATGAAACAGCGATCCTCAAACGCGCTTGTTGGAAAATCTGTCGATTTCAAATATAGCAATGTCGAGGCGCGAAGAATCAATTTGATCAACTGTACTATTCTGATCTTGATTATCGGTTGGTTTGGATAAAGCGTTCCATCTACAGGTATATTATCAATCTGTACATATCGCGATACGATATGCATAACGAACGATGTAAATACATTTCCTTTTAGAGGAGTGGAGTGGAAAGGAGTGGAGTGGAGTGGA